ACAGAAGTCCTAGGCTCTTTAGAGGATTCTTGGGTGATGTATTGCAGGAGAACATGCACAGATGTTTTAGTGCTTTGTGCAGGGCTGTGTGTTTATAAAGCAAAGAATAACTCTTCTGGAGCCTGAGTGTCTGTTTGCTTCATTTGCAGATCTCCCTGAAGACAGAAAGTGTAAATCGTCCACAAGGCTGGAGAAAAATATATGCTTAAAGGAATGGGAAGTCTTAAAATATTCTTGAGTTCTTGGGTGGTGTTACACCAGATCTGCAGGGAAAATCTGTGGAACATTTTGTGTTTCTTTTTTTTTTTCCCTTAGGGTTTTTCTTCCCCTTAACCCAAGAACACTTCTGAGTTCCCCAAAGAGAGAGCTGCCCTGGCTTTGCTCTAACTTCATACTGGAGTGAGACATGCCAGCGTGCCAGCAAGTCCAGGTACAGACAAAGACTGCAAGGAGGAGAAAGTGTCAGAGCCAGCTCAGAGACAGGAGAAAAAAGGTTCAGGAACCCTTCATGGTGGGACCCAAACAGAGCAGTGTGCTGAAGACAGCTCTACCAGGCTGGGTGGACTGCAGGGAAAGCGAGCTTCTGGGCTATGGAATCTCTTTCTGTTGCCCATTTTCATCTACTACACATTCAAAACCCACTGACTTTAAGCTATCAGGAAGAAGCAACACCTAGTTCACTGCTAATCCTCAGAACTGCACCATTCAATTTTTATAAAAAGGTATCTTGTAATATTTTATGTGTTCTGTATTGCTCATGTAAGAGTATCACTATCATTTTATATAACTTAATTGCATTTCCTGCATTTTGCAAATGCCTAAGCTGAAGTTTAGAATTTTAAAACTTCTCAAAATGGCCATGTATTTGCACAGAACTTAAAAGATTAAAGCTGGATGGAAAGATGGCAACAATAGTGGCCATAGATTTTACATGAAAACTTGGAGACTAAGTTTTTTTACTTATGAAACATAAAGCATGGAAAACTTCAGAATAATCTGAAGCTCATGACTCTGCTTACTGGAGTATTCTTTAGTCATTATAGCACTGATAGTAAGGTTGAGAACATTTATTTGAGTACAAGTATGTACAACTACTTGTATTTGAGTACAAGATGTATTAGTTCTCAAGAGGGAACAGTCATGGCAGTGAGAGTGTACTGGTATTTTCTGTAAAATGCGTACAGATTTCTGCAACTTAAACTACCAGTACAGAAATGCAAAGTTATATTCTTAGAAAATGGGAGCTTAAAATTACATTTCAAATAAAAAACATTTTTACATATAAACATTTTTCAAAACTGGTATCAGTCTTGGAATGACTGCAGGTAAGTCATTCCCATCATTTTTTTAGTCTTGGGTCTTTACAATGGGCAAACATTAAGGCTGTATATAGTGTTAGGCATATAAAATCAGAAAATAAAGATAAGCAACATACTAAGTGTATCATGTTGCCAGGAATAAAAACTCATGGAAGCTGCATGTGGTACTGCTCAGAGAGAGTGCCAGTTCTGCCAAATAATGAAACCAAAAAGAATGCAGGAATCCACACAGCACAGTGGTGGATTCTACTACAAAATGAATGTATGTAATTATACTGTCTCATATAAATAATCAATAAACTTTCAATTAAAATCTTTACGATTAAGATGTATAGCAAAAAATTCTGGCAGCTGACCACAGATCATTTTCAAAAAACATTTAGGACTCTCTGCTTAGACAAGGAAAGTGGGACTTAGGACTTCAGAGAAAGTGAAGTATAGCATCAGAGAAAATCTATTATGTCTTCAAGGACAAATTCTGCTCTGTTTAGAGAAAGGACAAAGAAACTAAAACCTACAGGATCAGGCCTGGTTCTGCTCTGTTTGGCTTGACACTACCCAGCCATGCAGCCAAAAAAACATGCACAATAAATGCTGCCTTTAAATAAATGCTGCCTTTACACAGTTAAAGGGTGCAAGAGGGAAATGCTTCAGAAAGGAAACTGAGGGGGACAGAGCTGAGAAAGTAAGCCTACAAAGGCAGAAGGACTCAACAAGAAACAAATATTGTAAATGAGCCAATGTCAAATACATACTACATGAAGGAGAAACAGAAGCTGTGGGAATCTTAAGCAGGGAAGATTTCAGACTGCAGGGTTAAGTCTAAATGCCAGAAGACATGGCTGCAGCATATCTAAAGAGCTTGTTTGATAAAGAGATGGCTTAACTGAAGCACCATTTCCCAGTCTTTGGCTGATAAACAACAGGAACTCAGAGGCAGAGAAAAACAGGTCAAAAGAGGCCAACAAGTACATATTTTACCCAAAGCCACAGCTTTCAAAATGTACTGAGAAATCTCTCCCATGACTTCTGCTCCTGGAGTCCATGCTTTTACTTGCATGTCCACAAACACCAGCTTGCCAAGCATCTGCAGCTACACTGACCTGAACTGCACTCTTGGCTTGACTTTTTCTCCCACTCCTCAACCTCAAGCCAAATAAAATTAGCTCTGATAGTCAGCAGCCCCAGATTCCAAATGCATCACCAGGTCTCAGCTCTTTCACATCACTGTTCTTCTATGATTATCATGAGCATGTCCCTCCTAATATTTTCACCAAGGCTATATGTCACCAGATTTTTTCCCAAGTTTCTAAAACACAGATTCTTCTAGACTGCTAAAACTGCCACCCAGGCTCATAGCACTGTGCATCTCAATTACGGCAATGCTCCTCCTCAGCCTGGACAAATGTAATCTGTCATCATTGCTATCCATTCAAAATGCTGCTGTGAAATTCATCTTCTGAGCCCATCATCTGTCCGTGTCATTCTCACCTGTGCCTCCATCCACTGGATAAGCTTTCCCTACCTCATCAGTTATAGCTACTTACTTCGGTTTCCAGGAAATTTCAAGGTCTAACTCATCACCCTTCAGCTCTCTCCAAGCATTTTCAGTCTGTATCCAAGAGCTTTTTATGCTTGCCCTCTATGTCTGATTAGTTGAATGTGAGAATCTTTGTTCTTTCTACGCCATATTCCTCTATAAACATCCCCGGATGAACAGCATGAGACAAATGAAAATACTACGTTCATTGCCGGATTCGAAGCAGTGAGGTTCTGAACACAAAATTCTGTAACAGTAAAGCTGGGTAAATAATTTACAGCATGGAATTTATTTATCGTATTTTACTTAATTTTCTGTTTACAAAATGGTGCATTTGGTATTCAGATGTGTCCACCAAATAATCTTTGCAAATTATTCTTGCCATGCTGCTTAAAAACAACCAAATTTAAAAATGTTTATGTATTTAGGTCACATGATAAATTTCTGTACCCTAATTACACAAATATATCTTTGAGGTGGCATGGGTACAAGTAGTGGTGATTAAGTATCTAAAATTCACTACCTGACAATAACTTCAAAAATCATAATTGTTGTGGTGGTGATTATTCCTATGCATAAATATTCCTTCTTAGTGTTCTCAGAGGATTCAACCAACCTTCTTTGCAGTAAGATCATAGAGTTTTGCATACTTTATATCCTATTCCCATGCAGCTGTCATTTTCAAGAAAGGGTATTCTGAATGCTTCAAAACAGCTGAAATGAATCACCTGAGAACACAGTGAGTGAACACACAGCATGTGAAGCAGGGTCACCAGGTACCCTCCTGACTCTGGGTTAGAAGTTGCTCAAGTCCTCTTCCTGATGCTGGGTCATAATCGAGTGCAGCAACATTACATTAACACACACTGAGATCACACTCACCATCTTTTCTGACAGCATCACCACAACAGTTTTCAAATTAGGGCTGGTACCTTCCACTGCATTCATGTCCCAAGATGGCCTTTGGCTTCTGAGCATTAGGAAAACAAACCCCTAAACCAGGAGCTCAAAACTTCTTTATAGTGTACTTGTTTACTTTGGTAAACTGCCCTACCAACCTTTAGCTATACCATTTTCAGTTTTATCTGTGGTACATGCTGTAGCTTTTCAGCCATGATTATTATTTGGATGGGTAGTAATTATTTTTCAATTCCTTTTAAAGTGCATTAAAGGCTAGAAATGAAAGGAGCAGGACATTTTTGAGACCTTTTTCTCTACAGCCTGTCAACAAATACTATATTAAATAGTTTGAAAACTGTTAGTTTGCAAACCTCAGGCATGTAATAAAGTCAATATATAATTTTACAACCATATCTCTTTTCTCTTGTGCATTAACATATAAAAAGAGACTTGCTCTATTTCTTCTATCACAATATTAAAGGCATTCCATATACAAAACAGTCTGTAGGTTTCACAGGATAATTACTGCTAATATCTTCAGTGCATTTATTAAATTCTACCTCCCCCTTTTTTTCTCTCAAATACACACTGGACACCAAATCCATTTAAGAGAAGTGGAGATGAGCTCTCTAAGAGTTCTCTAATGGGACCAGCATGTGTGACATTTCCTTTGGAGCATGGCACACCAGCACCATGTCCCATTCATTACGTTTACTATGCATAGACATCTGCTGTCCTCTTCCTGTTTTTCAGTGGAAGTTGAAGTTCCTTATAATAACTTTTTTTAGTGAATGGTCTGTTCCTTATGGAAAATTTTAGTTCTTTCAAAGGAAAGATGCCTAAATGCCTAAACCCTAAACCATTCAAGTTGAAAGTGAGTGCCTCCTAGGAGCTGAAGCCTCAGTTAGGATTCATCACTGTGCACTTTTTCACTGTTAGAATGCTGTGGTTGATGTGTCATCTAAAGAAAACCAGGCTACAACACAGGAGATGTGTATTTCTACAAGAAAATGGGAATATAAGGCCAATATTCCCATGGGAGTATCATGATGACCATTCTATATTCAAGCATTCGAGTTTCAATGGTCATATTTCAGATCTGGGTTTTTTTACACATAAAACAAAAATACTGCCTCTATATTTTTCTGAGGAAGGTCTGCAATTCATGAAGAAAGCTACTGGGATTTTTTTTCTGCCCTCATTTCAGTTATGTTTTGCTAGGTTAGGACTTGAGCTGTTACCTTGTAGATGTCAAGGAATCCACACTGGTGGTCGAAGCGCGTGTAGAGCTCGTTGAGCATGCTGATGACCTGCATGGGCGTGCACTGGGCACAGATGGCAGTGAAGCCAACAATGTCCGAGAAGAGCATGGTCACATCATCAAACTTCCTGGCCTGAACCTGCTGCCCCTGCCACAACTGCTGAGCCACCTCTTCAGGGAAAATAGAAATAAGGAGATCTACTGTCTTCTTTTTCTCCTCTTCCAGGGCTTGGTGTGTACATTCGAGTGTTGCCTTCAGCTTATCCATTCGTTTTTTCAAGCCATCCTGTGCCTTTGCTTGCTCCCCAACCAGTATGACATCACGAGTAGCATCATGGATAGGTATGTCCGAAAGATGGAGGCCTCGGCCCATCAGCTCATCCAGCTTGTCCACACAGGGGGATCCCAGAAACAATATAGAGTTTGATTCTGGCACATGAATCATTTGTCCTTTAATTTCCATCACCTGTAAAACAAAAAGAAAGAGTTTAGACAAGGGGAAAAATCAACTTATAGATGCGGATCCTCATTCTACTTTCTCTGTCTTTTCAGCTAAAACAATTAACTGTAGCCTTTTGCACAGAAGCCTTTTGCACTCACCCACTCAAGTAATGAGACTCACGGTCTGCTCACCAAACTGAGTCAGAAAATAACCTAAATTGACACAAAAGTATTCCCAAATCAGATGTTGGATTTTGTTTGTACCCAATTAAATAAGAAAGCAATAATATGTATTCTCAGAGTGCCGTCTAAATAATACTCCTGGATGTACCTGGACTTACAAGCAAATTTCTGAGTTGTTCTTTCTCTGTTACTTAGCTATAAATTACAAAAAGCAAAAGAAGGGAAGAGAAATTGCAACTGTCTGAAAGCAGGTTAGTGAAATGAAGTGCCTTCTGTTCTTTTTCAGCAAAATATCTAATACAAGTCAATTGTAGCCATTTTATAGAGGAATCAGATAAAAATAGATGTGAAAAACAGCTCTATAAAATAACAAATGGCATGGAAATATCGTACTAGTCCTCCTGTTTCCTGTTTTCCTTCTCATACATGCAGACTCAGTTAGAATCTACAGATTTCTTGGTAACAGAGCTTCATCCAATTTGTATTTGTGGGATAGCAGAAGGTACAGTAGGGAAGGAGCATCAGGTGGCTCATCACACTGGTTGATAGCTGTTGCATTAGCCTAGATGTCTAGATGTTAGATGTCTAGATGTTTTGAGCACTGTCCAAGGGTGGATATCACTGAGGCCGTGGATTGTCACCTCTTGCTCCACGATGGCAGTCAAGCACAAAACTGCCAGACTGAAATGGACACTGAAAACTAAATTAAATCAGAAAAACTGTATCTCTTTGTAAAAACAGCTTGCCATAGCCTCTGTCATGAAAAACAACTACATTAATGTTTCCATTCCAGGACTGCACAAAGACCAGGGTAATAGTGTGCAAGGTGATCTAGAAATACCCACAGACCTTACCCTGAGGATCTCACAGTCAATACAGGCACAACACACAAACCTTGTGCACCTAAGCAGTGTTAGGCACCATAATGCCTTGTATGTGTGTTTTCTATTCCACATAATATCTTAAAATGAAAAGGCCTCCTCCGGTCACCATTTCTTTCATCATGTAGCCATTTGCTTGCTGTCACATTATTCACTTATCATTTAATCCTCCTTCCATCCTGCCAAGCAAAATGGAAAAACCTCCATCAGGGAATCCAGAGGTGTCTGTAATAATGATGTGATTTAAGAGTCCAGTGGTCTGAAAGCTCCTGCTGAGGTGACAGGTAATCCTACATGGTACTTCCATGTCTAGGGGAGATTTAAGGAAGCACCTCTTTCTATCAGTTGTTTTTACATAAGGTTTACACAATATTTTAATACATAATGCTGTCATTGTAAACTCTATGGCAACATGAGAACTGAGCCTATCCTGTCCCTATTGCCCTCTGCCTTCTCTGCTAGCAACCTAACATTCAGCTCCTGATGTCAGCCAGGGAACTCAGCAAGTGAAAATAATAAATGCAAGTCATTAAAATTGTCAAATTTTCTAATTTATTTTCCTGCACACCTACTAATATTTACATTCCTAAGCCTTGCTTCCTCAGCTTCACTCTGGGACATTCATCTCAGTGAGAAAGCCAGTCAGCTAACTGCATGAGCTGATTTAATGCTCCATGGCAAAGTGTTCTTTTTCTACTTTTGAAACATGGCTCCCTGGGAAATAGGATGCTTTCTGCATGCATGCAGCCTCATGCTTCCAAAAGGGCACATGCAAAATTGTTTTAACTCCGAAGTACAAGTTGCCAAATATGAAATACATGGTACAGCATTTCTAAATTCTCTTCCTATTTTGTTCCCCTGTGCCGGAGAGTTTTCTGTTTGTTGATTTTCACTCTTGTGCAAAATAAAAGTATCTCATATTGCCTCTTCCATCACTTCCTCACTTGAATCTTCCATCTCCAGGTGAAAACAGGGTGTTTTCAGCTCAGGAGGATAGAGAGAGTGTGACCACAGAGCCTGGCTGAGCCAGCCTAGCCTGGGCTTGAGCTGCATGTCAGCAAGGCAAGGCACCTGGCTTGGAGGTGTGTTTCTCCTGTTAACCTGCTGCGAGACTAGAAGAAAATCAATGCATCCCCCTGTGCTCCCACTTTGCCTCTGTCAATTTGAGGTGTTAAACTCTTTGATGTGATCACTGTCTGTGTTAATATATTGTGCCAACTTTCCCTGGGTGGACTTTTCTCAGGAAACACTGACTGTGTAAATAATGTACGAAATAGGCACTGTGCTCTGCTTCTGGGTAACCTCAGGCAAATTATCAATCCTGACTTCTTATGTGGCCTTTCAGCACAGCAGGAACAATGCTATTGACCACCCTGTAAGACACTTGGAAACTTATGTGTGAAAAGCAATAAAAGACACACCATCCTGTAAAATGCCTAACTAATAATAACCAAGTGAGCTGCCCCCTCTTCAACAAGGTTGTTTCCAGAGCATTCTGAGAAATTTCTGCAAAGATATTCTCAGTACAAAACTGATTAGCTTCCTAAAACTGTCAAAGGTTCAGTGATATTTCAGCTTTATCCCCTAAATTATCACATGTTCTGTTTAACAGGAATCGTTGATGTTTCCTATCACTTCTTTCATGTTACATTAGTGACTTTGTCGTCCTGCTCTCTCTTGATGACTGATGAATGTTTTAGAAAATAGCCTGCCAATCTCTTCAAGCTGCCAAATCAGGGAACAGGACAGCAGAAAAAAAAACTGCCCCAGATTTCCTGGGGCAAAACACTAAGGTCTTGTAAAGAACAACAGTAGAGAAGAGTTAAGACTGCATCACTCTTACCAGCTTTTGCAAAGCCCTTTTCTTCCCAAAGAAGTTTCAGAGATGAAACAGACATTTTCTAGCAGACTTCAGTCTGCAACTGTGATCCAGCAGGACCTCCATCTATTTTCTTGGATTTTTCGTGCTTCTTATATTCTTCATTTTTATCTAAAAATATAGCTGATCTTAGAGGATATCAGGTTTGCCTGAAGCTCGCCATAGTAAGTCACACTTCTGGGCACCTCCCCAAAGCTGGACAGCTTTACACCTGGACCATAAGCCTACAGGCAAGCAGGATGGCATCATCCATCTTCCTTGTAAGCAGGGAAAGATAGAAACATTTCTGTCATCAGTTTTATTTCATTACTGCTACATTTCATTGCCTTCCTGTCTCTTTAATTATATTCTCACTGAATAAAATGAGACTAATTCTACCATTTTCAGAGGACATTCCACTGATTTACAGTGGTGCAAGAGAACATTTTGAAAAGAGCAGTTATATATATCATATTTTACAGTCTTACGTTGCAGTGAAATGACAGCGCAGCCTAAGGAGCTCTGGGATGAAAAACAAAAACCCTGTCACTGAAAGAAAGGGAGCAAATGGTTCCTGATTCCAGGGTACTCTTTCAGTGTCTCTCCCCAAAGACCCAGCTCAGAAATACTGACAGATTCTAAAGGTGCTTTTTGGGAACATGGAGAGCCTCCCACTGAGCAGCGCACCACCAGCTCCTTCATTAGGTACACAATATCCAACCCTCTGCACAACCTCTGCATACTCTGGATGCAAGCCACCCTAGGAACAAAAAGCTTATGAATCAAATGCCAAATCCACTGCCTAATTTTTAAGGAAAAGCACAGGGAAAAGTTTCATGGGTTGCACTGAGGGATGACACTACTCCGTACAAAGATGTGTGTTTCGGAATAGTGATTGAGAGAAGGTGTACACATCTCCTCAAAAAGATTAAGGAAATACAGGATGGTATCCCTGAGAAATAACTGGGGGATTAAAAAGGATTTTCCTTCTAATTGGCCAGGCCTTTTCTGCAGCCTCTGCAATCCACAAATTTCAATGGAACTGCTCCTTTGATTTTGATCAGTGCATAAACCCTCCCAAACTGTGATTATACTCTTCTTTTAGTTTTATTAATTGGGATTAGGTTAGAAACTTACAGTGCTAGGCCACACTTTCATACACAGTTGCACATCCATGCTTGATTTCATACAATGGACAAGTTCAGTAAGAGAAAACAAAGCTGCTTCTTTATCAAGTTCATAGTTATTTAGAGGATTGAAAGACTGCGGCAAAATCAGCTTGAACCTGAACACCATCACCATCATAATTTCCAGGTACAAAGAGTTTAGGGTGACTTTCAGAAAGGAGGTCCAGCTGCTAACCTAAATTTTAAAACAAGTGAACTTCTCTGAATATCCTACAGGATACATGGCAGCGCATCAGGAACATTTACAGCAAGGTATTTCATAACATCTGAGGAGTCAGAGGCTTAGCGGATTTTGTGTACACGGGACAAAACAGTACAGTTACAACAGTACACTTGCAGAAAGAAATGCAATTACTTTCTTGCTATGTTTCCATGACACGTCTAGAAGGGCTGAAAGTATGACAGACAACACTGGAATTAAAAATAAAAAAAAGTCTTAAATTGGAAAAATGGGCTAAAGCTAGAATTCAAAATAAGGGCAATAAATATATTTAGACAGAAATAAATGCAAAAAGTACAGGCAGGCTAATTGTTCCTGAGAAGATGGCCCAGAGTGCACAGAGTGGAACAAATGAATGTAAGCCAACATGGCATGCTGCCATGTAGAAATAATACACTATAGAGGACTACGTAAACAAAAAATACAGTTTGCGAAACACCAGAAGTTATCCTTATACTGTGACCACCAATTTTCAGACCCCAGAAGGGCAAATCTGTCCCTTTGAAAGTATAACAAAAAGGTGGATTGATTGGAGAGTCTGGTGAAAAGCAATGAAGGTAATGGAAGGTCTAAAAAAATATGACCTACAAAAAAAATTTGAGAACTATTGATGGTTTGCCCCAAAGAAGAAAAATGTGAGTGTGGGCATATGAAAAAACCACTTTGTGCCAATGTAAAGAGGTCAAACACAAATCC